AGGAGGAGGAGGAGAAGAAGACTGGAAGGAGGAGGAGGAGAAGAAGACTGGAAGGAGGAGGAGGAGAAGAAGACTGGAAGGAGGAGGAGGAGAAGAAGACTGGAAGGAGGAGGAGGAGAAGAAGACTGGAAGGAGGAGGAGGAGAAGAAGACTGGAAGGAGGAGGAGGAGAAGAAGACTGGAAGGAGGAGGAGGAGAAGAAGACTGGAAGGAGGAGGAGGAGAAGAAGACGGGAAGGAGGAGGAGGAGAAGAAGACTGGAAGGAGGAGGAGGAGAAGAAGACTGGAAGGAGGAGGAGGAGAAGAAGACTGGAAGGAGGAGAAGAAGAAGACTGGAAGGAGGAGAAGAAGAAGACTGGAAGGAGGAGAAGAAGAAGACTGGAAGGAGGAGGAGAAGAAGAAGACTGGAAGGAGGAGGAGAAGAACAAGACGACTGGAAGGAGGAGGAGGAGGAGAAGAAGACTGGAAGGAGGAGGAGAAGAAGAAGACTGGACGGAGGAGAAGATTGGGGGTTGATGACACGACTGGTTTGTTGAGGCAAGATCATGGGTAATATTATGGAACTGAAGGGTGAATAAGTTACAGTTGTTATACAGACCCAAGGACTATAATCTAAGAATATTTTCTATTCTCATGGTCAGTTACCCACCTGTCCCGATCTCTGCTGGAATTTCCTCCTCCTCCCTCGTCAACATGGGAAATGCCAAGTTCTCCTCTTTCTCTTCTTTAATAACGACAACCTGAAAATCTTCTAAATTCTTATCCTATAAAGAACACGCACATCAACGTTGTCTATTACCGTATATCTGCACAGACTGTACAATAGCAGGCAGTAGACGGTAGATAGGAAGCCCTCAGGCCCATCTACCTGATCACGGTGAGGGATGCTGCGGCCTTTCTTTGTGGAATCCCGGGAATACAGAGGTTGGGGACGCTTCTCCGGTATTATTCTGCTGCTGGATCCTTCTGTAGGAAACACAACGATTTAGTAAAATGACTTCTACTTGACGTCCTACTTCCTCAAAGAACACAATTTCAATTATGGCCTGATAGAACCCTCTAACTAATAGTGTCACCACCAAGACTTTTAGTCAACACCTGGACAGCATGCTAATTTTTTTTACAAAGATTAGGAGTCGAAATGTTGCTGTACTTCAGTCCCCGTACTACGGAATCCCATAGATGTGATGGGGTGATGTAGGCATCTACAAGAAGGAACACAACTACAGAGATGAACATCCTACACCGGCTGCTTCAACATCAAGAGCACATCGGGTCAAATTATCTGAAGTAAGCCTCACTGAAAGGTCTGGTTCACCTAAAATGCTTGTTTAGCGTACATAGATAAAGGCCATTGCTCTCCTGGATGTAGCCTTTGTTTCTTTGGAGGAACATGGTCCTCAAGTGATCATAACAGAATTCAGAACTCTAGACTCCGATGAGTTGGGAACCGTCAACAGTGGAAGTCTTTCATTTCAGCCCTATGCATCTCAATGAAGCAGGATATACAACTAACTAGACTTCGATGGCCTGGGAATCGTCAACATTGGAAGTCTTTCATTTCAGCCCTATGCACCTCAATGGAGCAGGATGTATAACTAAATAGACTCGGATGGGCTGGGAACCGTCAACAGTGGAACTAGACTTTGATGGGCTGGGAACCGCCAACAGTGGAAGTCTTTCACTTCAACCCTATGCTCCTCAATGGAGCGGGATATACAACAACTAACTAGACTTCGATGGGCTGGAAACCGACAACAGTGGAACTAGACTTCGATGGGCTGGGAATTGTCAGCAATGGAAGTCTTTCACTTCAGCCCTATGCTCCTCAATGGAGCAGGATATACAACTAACTAGACTCCGATGGGCTGGGAACTGCCAACAGTGGAGCTAGACGTCGATGGGCTGGGAACTGCCAACAGTGGAACTAGACGTCGATGGGCTGGGAACTGCCAACAGTGGAACTAGACGTCGATGGGCTGGGAACCGTCAACAGTGGAAGTCTTTCACTTCAGCCCTATCCACCTCCAATGGAGCAGAATATACAACTAACTAGACTCCGATGGGCTGGGAACTGCCACCCGTGGAACTAGACTTCGATGGGCTGGGAACCGTCAACAGTGGACATCTTTCCCTTCAGCCCTATCCACCTGAATGGAGCAGAATATACAACTAACTAGACTCCGATGGGCTGGGAACAGGCAACGGTGGACATCTTTCACTTCAGCCCTATGCACCTCAATGGAGCAGGATATACAACAAACTAGACTTTGATGTGCTGGGAACCGACAACGGTGGAAATCTTTCCCTTCAGCCCTATGCACCTCCAATGGAGCAGAAATTACGAATAACTAGACTCCAATCAGCAGAGAAAGTGGGGGAAAAAACAAACGTGGAACTTCACAGCTTGAGCTCCTTCAGAACTAAAACTATAAAACTTGCTGGAAGCAGCTTCCATTCATCTCATAGGCTCAAGACTAAAGCATTCAGGTGAGCACACAAAAGAGAGAAGAGTTGAAAAGGTAAATCTCCAATATTGGCCAGAGAGGTATGAGGTCCCTCACCGGAAGAGGAGAAATGAAGGAGGCAAAGGCCATGACCATGTTCACATACTATATCTGTACTAGACATTTATTGGTCACCTGTGCTGATCTTTGGAGGAACGGGCTTCTCCTTACATGGCCAGTCAACCACCATATACACCTCCTCATCCTCATCTTCATCCACACCTTCTGCTTTAAGCTTCGTCAGATCGTCGCCCTAGAAACACACAAAATATATAATGACTGACTTATTAGAATGCGAATATCACTTAAGACATGAGATCCACTATAGTCCTACCTACCTGATAATGGCGAGGGATGGTGTGATCTTCCTGTGTGGAATCCCGGGAACATCTCTCTGGTGGGTTCCCCTTACTGAATCCATCTGTAGGAACTTTCTCGTCCTTACACTGCACACCGGTCCTCATATACACCTCTTCTTTACGCTCTGTGACTTCAACTTTAACATTTAGCAGATGTTCCACCTAAGAAATATACAAAGGTTTCATTAAGAGTCCCAGAGACATCCTGACACCTTATAGGAACCCGACACACACAATGATATAGTCACCACCCAGACACATCCCTTGTCTGTTCCTTGATCATGTCCCAGAATTCCCGGCACCGCTCACCTCTCCTGTCAGCAGCTTAATGATCTTCTTGGTGACTTCTAGGATCTTCTGTTCTTTGTTCCTCTCAGGTGTCAGGGAGGGAGGTGGAGACACCTTGATGGTAACATGGTCACCAGACTTCACAGGAGGAAAACTCTAATGAAACAGCAAAACATGTCGTGTTAGTAAGAGTGAGGTCATGTGACCCTCCAAGTCAGGTCATAAGATGTATACATGTGACCTCACAGAATCCTCCTCACGCCTCCGGTCAGGTCTGTGTTGTATTAATAGAGATAAGAGGGATGTCATGTGACCCGCCCAGAATCCTCCTCACCTCTCCGGTCAGGTCTGTGTGGTATTAATTGAGATAAGAGTAATGTCATGTGACCCGCCCAGAATCCTCCTCACCTCTCCGGTCACCAGGCAGATGATCTCCAGGGCGAGGTGTATAATCCTCTCAGTCATGTGTGTTTTATTGCCTTCCAGCTGGAAACAAGGGAGGGATGAGCAATTCTTGACCTTGTAGAGATCCCGTTGTCCTCCTAGATACTCCCACTCCTCCATGGAGACATCCTGACACCTTATAGGAACCTGACACACACAATGATAACATGTAGTCAAACACCACACTAGTGGTGGAGTAAGTAGTGATGAGGCCGGGCTTGGCGGGAAACCAGTTTGCCCAAGCCCGCTCAGATCTCTTATTGCCGCCCCCTCTTCCCAACCCAATCAACGTCGGGGAGCTGCATTCCCAGCCCCACATGCACCTCCCCGCCACTGACTGGGTCGGGAGGAGGCTGTCAGAGTTTTGAGTGGGTTTGGGCAAACTGGGTTCCCACCAAGCCCGGCCTCATCTCTAGTTGCCACCAACTAGCTGTTCTTACACATCATGCTTAAGCTTTGCCGCAAGCTGTGCACCCACGGCTGAGTGCACTTATCTGTGGGGTCTATGGGTCTTGACGCAGCATGCTTACGGTCCGCTCGTGACTACAAACTAACCCTGAGCATTTCTGATTGGAGGACTGGAGTGATTAACACGATCTAAAACATGATGGCCGAAGCCCCCGGATGTTGCCCTGGATGCTCCCCGACCTCTCCGATAGCAGTGCTAGCCCCCGGGACAACGTTGGGTTCTTCTTCCACCTATATTTGGGCTGAAATAGTGTTTTACTACCCCGCTGGCCAGAGCCAATTCCTCAGCCAACGATAATGGCGCTGTATTACCTTCTGCGATGACGGTGGCCAGCGGCGGCAGTGGTGTATTTGCTAACAATGAAGGTAGGAGCTGGCTTTTCTTGTGCCCTTGTTTCGCCCATTACTCTATAGCACCAACATATTCCGCAGCGACGTAGAAAGGACGTGGAGCCGCTACCTCCAGTACACGTCCCATAGCTCATGATTGAACGTCTGCGTCATGCTGTGGCACAAACAAAGGCTGGAATGGGGGTCGTAGCAGATTATTCTACGGATCGTGGGAGGAAACGCACGCAAAGCATGGCGATACTGACCACGGCACCCCAGCGCTTCTACACGGATGATCCTATTATGTTCGCCAATGCAAACACCTGTGACAGGTCCCCTTTAAACAGCCTCCTTTAAAGGGCACCTGTCAATCGGGGGCAGCGGGCAAATATGGAGGCAAAGGCTCCTCTGGATGTCATTTTTCCCGCACGCTGGACTTACCTGCACAGGGTCACATATAGACAGTCTTTAAAAAGATGGCAGTGCCTATTACTGTGAATGGAGCCCAGAAAACCCCCAGCCCACAAAAACATGACCCCTCCCCCACTGTCAGAGTGACCACACCCCCCGTGTGGCCCTCTCACCTCCTACTATACTCACACTCATAGAAACAATAAGACCCATTACCTGCTGCCAGCAACTGCCATGTCCTCCCAGATCACCTCTCACCCGGAAACGCATTGAAAATGCCATGGTCGGTTTCTATGAGATTGCTTCCGGGTTATGCGCTCCAGCAGAGGCCGCCAACTTCCGTGTTTTGCGCTTCAGCGGCGCTCTTACGTCTGTGTGGTGCGGCGCGGCTCCCTCTGCTGGCCAGTTCTGGTACTGCAAGCACAACTCTGAATACTTGTATTAACCCCTGCAGTGCTGTGTGCTTCTCAGTCCCTTCTCTATTTTATTTATCCTGAAAGTTATCCTTTTCCAATATTCATTTTCAAAATGAAATCCCAGATTTTTGTTTAATACATATATAATTTTTTTAACTTTAAATAAAATGAACACTCACCTTTCTAGTGTGCTGGAAATAAAAGTAGCAACCAATGCTCTTTTTTTAAATATATATATATAAACTATATTTGAGCCTGGCACAGAGGCTGGGGTGTCGGGCGGTCAGAGGTCACCTAAAGCACATACGTTCTAAGTGTAGATAGCAATGGCCCCGCCCCCTTACATAAACACTACCTTAGACCGAACCCCCTTGGTTTGCACACTTGTGTCTCATTTGCTCGGGGTCAGCCGGTTCTTGACTCTGGAACTGCTTTGTGTTGCCTTCACTGCTCATCCTCATATACTGTACACAACAGTGTGAGGTCAGGCAGCTAACAGACCATCAGCTGGCAGATTTCAAAATGACCTCTGACCCTCCATCAGTAGTAATGACTCCAACATTACTACGTTGACAGGCCCCCTTTAAACTAATGTAGGTGCACTGTATGGCTTATCACACTTACAGGGACCCTTCCCATTGTCCGCACCTGTCGTTCCGTTTTTGTTGGAAAAATGCCGGGGGCTCTCTCTGGCCTCCTGCAGTTCCCTGCTGAACAATCCATAGGGAGCTACAAGTGGGAGGAGCCTTCACCTCTTTGGGTGGGAAGAGCATTCAAATGTTTTTGGAGAAAGTTGAGATTTGCATAGCTGAGGATTGGAGATCCCAAGGTGCAGGAACATAGACTGAGACCAAAACTCGAGATCTCTATATATCCTAAAATACATACTGTCCCTCCAAAGGTCCTACAACCTACTGGACTAACCTAAGGCGAGAAAAGCGGGGATCAGAAGCAGGAACCACGGTGGTGGGATCTCTGGGGTCCTCCGGATCTGTAAACCTGCCACAGCTTTTGAACAGGGGCCTCACTCCTCTTGAGTTTGAAACCATTTTTTGTTATTATTGTGCAAAAGCGAGACCTGGAATACCCCAATGTGGACAGAAACAGTGCCAGGAACTAGGGTGGAGAGAACTGCTGGAGTCTTCAGAGATACAAGAGTCCAGTGAGTGAAGGCATGCTGTGTCTGTGCCTGCTCCAAGACTGAGAGCTGTACCAGGTTGAGGTGGTGTACGTGTACAGCTGTTGGAGGCACAAGGACCTCATAAACAGTACTTTTTTCAACAATCTTAATTCTTCTCCTCACCATAGGAAGAGGATAAGATCCCATAAAAAGAATCCAAGGTCCCCAAAGAGTGTTATATTGTTCTGCAGTATCGTGGAGGTGGTCCGTCAGGTTCTCCAGTCAACTCTTGTGCCCAGTTCCTTATATGAGGGATTGCAGGGGATCCTCTAGAACAGGGGTGGGGGAACCTCCGGCCCTCTAGCTGTGGTGAAACAACAAATCCCATGATGCATCTGGCAGTCATGCCTGTGGCTGTGAGAATCTCGCAATACCTCATGGGATTTTGTAGTTACACTACTGCTGAAGGGCCGGAGGTTCCCCACCCCTGTTCTAGAGGATCCCCCGCAATCCCTCATATAAGGAACTGGGCACAAGAGCTGACTGGAGAACCTGACGGACCACCTGAAGACCAATATAACACTCTTTGGGGGACCTTGGATCATTTTTATGGGATCTTCTCCTCTTCTTATGGTGGAAGACTTGTGGAGCCCACACCCTGCTTGCAGAGGTGGCATCATAGCATTGCAGGGACCCCTGGCATTCCTATATGCACAGAACAGTAGATGCTTTACTATTATTATCGTGTGAGGCCGTACTGTACTACTAAGGTGGGCCTGCCACACTGCGCCCATGCCTTTGCTATCTATCCTATCCCTCCTCTAACTGCCTCTTGCTCATTCTCTTTCTAACCTCTCTTCCTTTCCATCTATCTTTTATCCCTACCTCGGCATGAGTTGCTTATCCCATCATTGACTTCTGAGAATGTCTGAAACATGTAGATCAGGCGTAGGCAACCTCGACACTCCAGGTGTGCTGAAACAACACATCCCATCATGCTTTGGGAGTCATGCCTGTGGCTGTCAGTCCTGCAATGCCTCATGAGATTTGCAGTTACACCACAGCTGGAGGGCCGGGGTTTGCCTACCCCTGACATTCACTATTCTCATGGCCTAAGACAGGGGTAGCCAAACTCCGGCCCTCAGGCTGTGGTGGAACTACAAATCACATGAGGCATTGCATGACTCTCACAGACATGACTCCCGGAGAGAGATGCATCATGGGATTTGTAGTTTCACCCACAGCTGGAGGGCCGGGGTTTGGTTATGTCATGGCCTAAGACTTGTGCTGGTCTCCTCATATGGACACCAAACTCATCCCAATCCCTAATCACCAGGACCCTGCCCCCTTATCACCCCGCTATTCCCACACTCAACAACAGTCAGAGTGCTGAGGTTGCCCACCCCTGATTTAGACGTATGTGAGACATTTATCGCTTGCTTATCGCTTATGGTTCGCCTTGTGTCAGATTTTATGTAGTGCACGACGCATATGGGCGGCGGTCTGAATTATCTGTATGCGGCCAAACTTTATTTTCTCAATAAACTTTATTTATGTACAAAAATAAATAAATCTTAATGAAAAACCACAAGACACAAAGGCGTTATAAAATCCATATTTTGATGTCCGATGTGACAACTCCAAACTCCAACAACTGTTTACGAACTGCCAACTTTTACTTTCGGCGACGAATCAAAATGATCAAATTTTAGAAAAAAAAGGTAATAGTGGTCTTTGACCTCTAGATGACCTTTGACCTCTAGATGAAGCCTTTTCCACCAACAGAAAATCCTCAGCTCGAGTCTAAAATATCACCTGCCCTTGGATCGCTCATTGACGCTGTCCTCCTCCTGGGCCTCTCGTTGCTGTGAGCCCGCTGATGGTAGACGAGCTTTGACTTCTGCGTGAAACATCTCCCGCAGTCGAGGCAGGAAAACGGCTTTTCGCCCGTGTGGACCCTCTGATGCGTATCGAAGCCGGATTTCTGAGTGAAAGATTTCCCGCACACGGAACACGTGAATGGCTTCACGCCTGTGTGGGACCTCAGGTGCGTGATGAGGTACGACTTGTAGCGGAAAGTCTTTGAGCACTCCGAGCAAGTATGAAGCTTCGGTGACCCTGTGCGGCGGGGATTCCGGGTAGAAGAGGTCTTGCACTCAGGGCAGGAGCTCTCGTCTTCGCCTGGTGAGACCTTCGACCTCTGAGTGAAATCTTTACCGCACTCCGAACACGGGAAAGTCTTTTCCAACGTGTGAATTTTTTGGTGCATTAGCAGGCCGGAACTTTTTGAAAAACTCTTCCAGCACTGGGAACACGTAAAAGGCTTTTCCCCCGTATGAATTCGCTGGTGCTCCACCAGGATGTATCTCCGCGTGAAGCTTTTGTCGCACTCGGAACACGAATAAGGCTTTTCACCCGTGTGGATTCTCTGATGTTCGAGAAGCGTCGACTTCCTCGAGAAGCACTTTCCGCACTCTGTACAGTCAAATGTCTTCTCCTCCTCGGAGAGGTGGGCAACCGGCGGATATAGCTTTCGGCACTTGAAGCAGAAGGTCTGTTCTCCCGTCTCGAAGTTGGTCATGGGAGTGAAAATAGTCCCGCACCCCGAACAAGGGAATTTCTTTGCCCCCCCGTGAGTTTTGTGATGCAGAATCAGCCCTGACCTCTGCGTAAAACTTTTCCCGCACTCCCAGCACGAGAAAGGCTTCTCGCCCGTGTGGATCCTCCGATGCTCAATGAGGATCGACTTGCGCGTGAAGCTTTTTCCACATTCGGAGCACAGGAATGGCTTCTCGCCGGTGTGGGTTCGGCGATGCTGAAGGAGCGTGGAGTTCTGGCTGAAGCATTTATCACATTCGGGACAGGAGTATAGCCTAGTGGGGTTCTCTTCTGGAAAATCTTGCGTTATGTCTTCCTCTTCTACATCACAGTCCGGAGATAAGCTCTGTACCTCGGAGCTCTTTTGGACATATTGGCCATCTGCAGGGAATTAGAAAAACTTTTTTCACATAAAAGTCTGACTCCGGCCAAAACGTTTTTCAGTGAATATTAGGATGATACTTCCTTTAGTTGTATTGTAGCCCTGATGAAGGAGGAAGTGCTGAAACCCCCAAAATGCGTTGGCTCATTTATTCTACTGATTATTCGGTAAAAAAGAAACTACTATGGACTCCATCCCCATTGGTGTGGAACCCTTACATATTCAGGGTTCCCTCATGATTCCCCCCCCCCCCCGCCTCGTTGTTCTGATACATGTGAGCAACCTCACTGAAGCAGTTTAGACCAGATTCAAACAGGAAGTGCAGAGAGTGTCCGTTACTTCCTGCCTGGTAGATTCCCATCAGACAAAAATGTAAAAAGTACCCTCAGTGGGGTCAGAGACAGCTACAAAAACCTGACAGAGGTTCTAACCCATGGCTGTATCTACAATTCATGGGACCCCACAACAAAATGTTAATGGTACCCCCCCCCAGCGACCTCTT